CACAAGCTCCGGGTATCCCTCAGTGCATCAGGGACCGCCACCGGTCTGTCCAATGACGTTCCAGCGGGATCTAACTCTTCTGCCGGCAGTTCTGAAGCCCGGCAGCATGACGACTGCTCTGTTTTTTCTTTTACACAATGTATGTATGGAAACCCCTCATGCTCTCCTGCACCATGCTTGGATCAGGCATTGGCCGCGAGTGCTCTTGTGCCGCCGAGGTGCGCGAGCAGCCGAGTGCCTCGTCTTGGTTCACACTGCAGTATCCTTGCTCCTGCCAGCAACTTCTCCCGCACAGCCTGAGCAGATGGCCAGCATTCCAATCCTCAAAGGCTATTCGCAATTCGACAAGGTGAGATGTCATCATGTTTCAGCTTGCCTCAGACCTGTTCGGCATCCCCGAAGCCCAAATGTGGATATCCAGTGCATAAGCCGAAAGCCTGCCACCAGAATCGGGCCACTGTAATGCACACTAAGAGTTCCAATCTGAATCACCAGGGCCAGTTTTCTTTGCACTGACAAAGGCTTGTGTCCTGTTGTAGCAGCAAACACAAACCATGGAAGCTACGGAACACTACTGCCACTCTCTCCGGCGACTCGAGCTTTCTCCTCCTCGGCGCGAAGGTTGAGATCCTTATAAGTATTTGCGGAGGCGGCAGTGAAGGTCTCCATCGCTTCAAAAATATTCCTCAGGCTCGACTGCAGACTGCTGTTTTCGGCTTGGGGGCCTGCGCCTTGTAACACCTGCGCGGACAAGGACACGCCTGTCTGATCAGAAACCAGGACAAGCTTCTTGTTCTTTGCTTCCAGAGCCTTGCGCATTTTTTGTTCATCCTTTTCCATCACCCTCAGGTCCCTGTCCATTCCTTTATTAGCCATCATACCCTGCCTTTGCTGTGACCTGTGCTTCTCCCAGAGGTGGAGAACGTTGGACGCAAAGGCTTGCATTGCCTTGACGACTTCCTTCTCAGATATCCTCGCCACGCCGGCTGCCCAGTTATTACATATCACAAAGATGGGCGGTGCACCTAACCGTCCAGGAGAAAATGGAGGGACACCGTCATCCGTTTCCTCGGGCACATATTCAACTCCTTTCCGCAGCCAGTCATTTAACGTACTAACATAGTTCTTTTGAGCGGTAACCCATCCGGCAAAACAGGTAGTCCAGTCCAATAGCTGAAGCTCTAGATGCTTGATCAAGTCCATGTGATCATCACCAAACCTTGCAGCATCTATCATGGAGTCTATGTTTTTAGCTTGGGATATGGCATGCAGCTGGATCTGATGGCATTCTAACATAACGTCCCACATCCGCATCAGCCTGGATAAAAGTATTTGATACAATCAGTTCCAATATCACAGACCAACATGTGTGTAAATAAAAACTATAAAGAAAGATGCATAGGTGCTAACTGAACAACACACCACCATAGATGTCAACAGTCAACTAAATCTTGCAATGCACTACATGGACAAAAAACTGTGAACAAAGGACTGAATCCTGATCCATGAAAAAAAAACCTGATAAGAACATGCAATGGAAAAGACTGTCCTGTTTGAGAAAAGATATAATACTACTAGGATTGACACAACAAAAGCATTTTGCTTACTGAAGGAAACCTTGTGCTACATACTTTTTCTAACTGCTCATTGCTCACTGTTAATTGTGTGCCTCAATATCACCACAGTCGCATTAACAATATTACAAGGCAGTGCAGAAAAAGGATTTATAAATCCACTAATTTGCATATGTGAAAATATTCAAGGTAACATAAACATGTAGCTAGACATTCCAGATGTGATATTCTAACATGTAAAAGGAGCAGGAAACAGATAGGGGTATGCGCAGGTTACTGTTTTAAGGGAGAGCTGCATACCCTTGAATGAGCTCACATGTTTGTGGCCATAACTCATCATCCCTTAGCTTACTGATCTTGCCTGAGATGGTGTTCACAACCTGAATAGCTATGCTTATCCTTGTTGATAACTTCCTTATTTCCTTTTCAGTAGCTATGATCTTTTCAGTTTCTGCACCTTTCTCATCTAATATTTGCAGGTCTTGGCGTTTCCTATCATACTTAAGCCTTTCCTCCTCTTCAGCCTGTAATGCACCCGAAGAAACTGAGTCCAATGAATCTAATATTGGATAAATGGGTGCAGAGTGATAAGAAAAGCATTGGCCCACTTCCACATTATTTCAATGAGTATCAACCAAACATTTATTTATACATGGAAGAACAAAAGTGGACCTATTCATAGCGTATTTATTTATCAATTAAAAAATCACCTCTAGTCTACCCCAACTTGTTTGGGGCTTTGTTGTTGTTGTTGTTGTTGTAATTAAAAAGTTACATTTAACTACGTGATACATAATTTTAGCTGCAACAACAATAAGCTACCCCTTAAAAAATAAGAGGGAAACTCCTAGTTGTAATCAGCCAGTATCATAGACAATGGACAAATCCAAAACTTTCACATACTGTACTTTGACTCTGTACAGTAAATTGGATGCACAAGCATGTGAAACGTGAACATGAGGAATCACATTGCCAAAATAAAGTATTCTCACGACTCACAATGTTCCTCAGAAATTCAAATATGTAAAAAGAGAATTCTATACCTTAACTTCCTGAAGAAGCTTCCTTTCCCACATGTATAGTTTCTGTAGCGTCGAGGAAAGGTTGCCACATCCCATCGCCTTGTCCTCTTCGAACCGCAGGAACTCCTCCTCCATTGTCGGTATCCCACAAATCATCATGGCAGATACTGGATTGGCATTTGGGTAAAACTTAGCAAACATGTTTAGAAACTGCAAAAGAACAAGACAGAACCGTTTGACAGCAGATGTGAGGCAATTCACCAACCTTTGAAACCAGAACCTTTCTGGTAGTAAGGCATCTTGCCGACCTCAAGCATCTTGGACACCTCACCAGCTGAACTGGAGGCACGCTCGAACTGAGCCTTGATCTCGAGCACCACCTCATTGTCATCAACATACGTCTTCTCTGAACCTGTGGGCGGCAGGCCAGCAACATGTTGACGTGCCTGTTCTCCGACAACACTCTTCTCCACTACATGAACATCATGATCCAAGCTGCTCCCACTACTACTTGGCAGCGACGACTTGGAGTCACGGGGCAGTTCATCCCCAGTACTGCTGCGACCTTCCTCCTTTGCCGCCTTCCCTTTCCCAGTGTGCCCATTCAACGGGTGCTTGTCATCACCATAAGCTTCCTTGACTACCTCCATGTCCTCATCCTCCAAATCGGGGATGCCCTCCTCCTCGCGCACATCTTTGGAACTCCTGCTGGGAGTGTATGGCGCTGGAGCAGCAGTTGGCTGGTCATAGTAGCTCCCATAGGTCTCAAATGGGTTCAAGAAATCCCAAGTAGACACACTCGGCGGAGATGGAGGCGGCGGTGGCACGACTTCCTCACGGGAGGAGGATGGCATATCTGCTGGAGGTGGAGCAGCAGCACCGCCATAGTAACCACCGTAGGCATACTGGTTATAGGAACTCTGCGGCGGGGAGGCATACCCATTGTACCCGCGCGGGGGTGGCTGTGTGCCGCCGTCACCATAATAGTGGACCCTGGCACCACTGGCCTGAGGGCGTTGCTCGTACGCTGCGGATGGCGGAGGGGGCTGTCCCCGAGCATAGCTGGTATTGAAGAAGGTCTGAACGGTAGCATCACTGGCCTCCCGCCGTTGCTTGAACGATACAGACGGCGGCGGGGGCTGGCCACGCGCATAGCTGATGTTGAAGAAGGTTTGGACGGTGGCGTCTGTGGCCTCTGGGCGGTGCTGGTGTGAAACGGACGGCGGTGGGGGCTGGCTGCGGGCATAGTTCATGTTGAAGAAGCTCTGGCCATAGCCACCAACGCCACCGTAGCCAGGTGGGTCATATCCATCACTGCGAGGTGGCGGTGGTCCCATGCTGCTGTATCCCGGTCCATTGCCTCCGGCGCCCCCCATGCCGCCATAGCCCGGGTCATAGCCGCCGGGCCCTCCCATGCCGCCGTAGTCAGGTGGAGGGGGATATCCACCATACCCGTACCCCGGAGGAGCACCATACGACGGCGGCGGGCCGTACGCGGAGGAGCCATACGGCGGCGGCCCCATCTGCTGCCGCGGCGGCCTCTGGCCCGGCTCCCCCGCGGAGCGAACGATCTCGGGCCGGCGCTGGCCCGGGCCGGCCTCGTCGTCGGAGTGGAACTTGATGTGGCCGTCCTCGGAATCGGAGTCCCCGTCGGAGTGGAAGTGGATGTGCTCGTCGTCGGGGTTGATGCGGACCTGCTTGGCGGCGGGCGGCGGCGCCTGGCCGTTGGAGGAGGAGGCGATTGCGGGGTTGTTGGCGGGCGAGGCGGCGGGCAGGCCGTCCCCCTTGCGGTTGCCGGGGGGCAGGTGGAGCGTGGGCTCGGGCGGCGGCGGGGGCAGCGTCTGGACGCCGCGGACGAAGTCGTGCAGCGCGACGCCGACCCTGCCGAGCGAGTCGGCGTAGGCGCGGTGCGCGTCGGCGAGCGTGTAGCGGTGGCGGATGGCGAGGGCCAGCAGCTCGGAGCGCTCCCGGCAGTGCCTCACCGCCTTCTCCTCCTCCAGCTTGGACTGGCCGCACCCCATCGGCGCGGAGCGGAGGAGTCTGGAAAGCGGAGGTCTTTTATTCCCCTTTGGTCAGAGGCGCCGCGGCGGCCGCATGTCGGCGTCGGCGGCGAATCTAGCGGCGCGGGGAGCGGGGGAGGGGGGCAGATCTGGGCTAGAGGGGCGAGCAGGGCAGGGGGAGGTGGAGGAGGAGGATGGAGTGGAGGGGACTGGAGGCGAGGCCGGGAATCTTCGCCTTTTTGCTGGCGCGGGCGCGCGTGCCAGCGGGGGGCGGCTCGTCGCGACGCGGCCTGAGCCTGAACCTCGTGGCAGCAGCGGATGGAGCGGCCGCGCCCGACCGAGCAACGGCGGCGGGGGAGGCGGCCGAGGCAAGGGGGAAAGCGGAGTGGTGGACGCGGTGGGGCTACTGTATCACTCGACCCGGGGTCGGGGGGCTATGGTGGTGGGATGGGAGGAGCACGAGGCGGCATCGGGGGATGGAGGGGAGGCTTGGGCTTGCTCTTTCGGTGGTGCGGCGGGGGCGGTTTTACCCAAACCCAACGCGCAAAGACAGGGGAAAAAAGATGAAATTTCGACGACGGTGATGAGGAGCGAGGAGGGAGGAGAGAGTGCCGCGGTGGTGGTGGTGGTGGGGCTATGGGCGGGGGGGACATCCGTACATTGACGCCTGTCGCCGGCGTGGAGGACGGAGGGGAGGGGGGGCTGGATTTATTTCGGTGGGGGTGCCGCTCCTCCCCCCCTGCTCTTTATAATCTCTCTGTCCATTGTTTGCCAGGTGATTAGCTCCAAAGTTTGTTTGCTCGGGCGGCGACGTGGCATGTCAACTGCGAGTTTGCGAGCCGCATTGCGAGCCTGGTTCAGTTTTTTTCGGCGCGGCTGTTTGCGCACGAAGTGTGAGGTGGAGTTTTGTACTGGCGCAGTTGAGTGCCGTGCCGTGCCCGTGGTGGCCCGCCGGGGCGTTTCTGGTTCTAGACTTCTGGGTGACGGTGAGGGTGAAGGTGGATGACAAGGGTGCCTCACGAATTCAGGGTGTCCCGATGCTCCATGGATCACAAAACCCGGGTGACCGTCCGTGCCGGTGCATCATGCATCAAGAAGAAACGCATGAAGGTCATGGGGATGAAATGTTGTGCGGCGTCCTTTTCTTTTTGAAATCCATTTGCGTTGTGGAAATATGTGATAGGAAACTCGTTACAAGATTGGCACACACGCAAATCGTTTAATGTATGTAACGAAAGGGAATTCACGCGGAATAGAAAAGAAACCGATGATGAGGCGGGGATGGGACGGGTACCTGCTCTCGGAGATGTCGCCCGCGGTGACGATTGTTGTGATGCGACCGACGGTGTCGAGCACGGGAAGGGGTGGAGCGCCATGGAGCCAGTTTCTGGCGATCCACGTACATGCCTTTTCGGTTCCGGATCTGGTAGACGTGGTTAGAGCGACGCATCGTGATCCACTGCGAGAGGGGGTGGTCGGCGATGGCATGGGGCTAGCTCGAATCGTGGCTCACGAAGGCAGCGGTCTGAGATGTTGGGGAGAGAGAGCTCGCCGCTCGTGAGATGCGGCTGAGATGGGAATGAAATGAATATGCGGATGCGAAAGAGCTTGCAAAGGCAAGAAAAGGGAACTGTGGCACTTCCTCTAGTTCGGGAAGTGGGTATGGAGGGGGCGAGGGAATTAATAGGCGTGATGGAGAAGACTGGACTATTCGATGGATAATCTATGCCAGCTCGAGGGCCGATTACCCGGTCGAAGTGGGTTGACCCGAAATGGATCACAAACCTTGGGTGACCGTCCATGCCGGTGCATCAAGAAGAAACGCATGCAGGTCATGGGGATGAGACCCGCAGAAAAAGGTCGTGGGGATGAAATGTTGCGCAGCGGTTTTCTTTTTTTATTCTTTTTGAAATCCATTTATGTTGTGCAAATATGTGACGGGAAACTCGTTACAAGATTGGCACATACACAAATCGTTCAATGTATGTAATGAAAGGGAATTCACGCAGAATAGAAAAGAAACCGGTGATGAGATGGGGGATGGGACGGGTACCTTCTCTCGGAGATGCCGCCCGCGTGACGATTGTTGTGATGCGACCGGTGGTGTCGAGCACGGGAGGGGGTGGAGCGCCATGGAGCCAGTTTCTGGCGATCTATGTACATGCCTTTTCGGTTCCAGATTTGGTAGATGTGGTTAGAGCGACGCACCGTGATCCACTGTGAGAGGGGGTGGTCGGCAATGGCATGGGGCTACCTCGAATGGTGGCCCACGAAGGCGGCGGGCGGAGAGATAGGCGGCGGTCTGAGATGGATGTTGGGGGAGAGAAAGTTCGACGCTGGTGAGATGCCGGCGAGATGGGAATGACATGAATAGGCGGGTGCGGAAGAGCCTGGAAAGGCAGAAAAAAGGAACTGCGGCACTGCTTCTGGTCCGGGAAGTGGGTACGGAGTTGGCGAGGGAATTAATAGGCTCGATGGATAAGATATTGTTCGATGGATAACATGCCAGCTTGAGGGCCGATTACCCGGTCGAAGCGGGTCGAGGGAGAGCGAGATGGCGACGGGATTAATAGGCGTGTGGGAGAAGACTGGATCGTTGGATAGATAACATATGCCCAACAACTTGAGGGTCATTTTTTTATCGGAGTGAGAATCGGGTTTTAGGTTTTTGACTTCCTTCTATGTTATTGCTCACACAACTGAGAAATGCATGTCAATATCCAAGCCATTGATGAGAAACAACCAACTAGTCATTCAATTGCGTTGTTGGGGGAATAACCACTAGGTAGATCCACGACAACAGTTGGCCCAACTAAGGGCCCAGGCCCAAAGATCTCGAGTAGGCGGTCCTGAGCTGGTAGTCTTGGCACAATGGCAACAAGTGACACAGGGATTTATCCAGGTTCGAACTCTCCCGAAGAGATAATACCCTACGTCCTACTTTTGATTGTATTGATGTGGGAGAGTACAAGTTACAGGTTGGTCTACCATGAGATCGTGTGTTTATGAGAGTTGTTGTCTACAACATTCACGCCTCGGCTTATAAAGATATCAGGGTGCCTAGGATTACACATAGGTCGGTTACATCTAAAGGTAAACGGGCCAAAGACAACCTCTAAGTCTTGAAGTGTGCACCAAGTCTTTGAAAAATTCCTTCCTTGGCGCTACTACCCCCGACAAACGTGGCCCACTGATTGATAACTTTTGGGGAATCTTGGCCCGACCCACATGGTCGGGAGCCAACGTGGTCGGTATCCCCTAGTCCAAGACATCATCAATACTCATGCCAAGTCCAACGGAGCCATTAGTCATGGGCTTGTCGATGTGGAGCACTCGGTTGGACGAGGACTCCAGTCGGATCAGGAGAAGCCAGTCATACACAGATCTTCATTCATACACGGATTCATACAAGGCTCTTCAATTATACCACACCAGGACCGAGTGATCAGTCAGATTAGTGCTATCCAGCACGTTAGAGGACTCACAATAAAAGCAGGCATTAATTACCACATCATCAAGACGGGGGTTACTACTGCCATCAAGACAACAGTTACCAACCGCCACCATTACACATTAAAACAAGTCCTTATCATTGTAATTGATACTACTAACTTCCAATTTAGAGTCAAATGCATCTTTGATCCTTCAACTTGCAGGCAATGTCTACAATTATCCTGGTACACTCAAAGTGCTTCAATACGGTCCATGTACTCAAAAATATTGTCCAGACACGGCCTCGACTAACATCCTAGAGAAGCACAACCGAGAATGCCGCTCGGCACGTTAGCAATGAGGTACGTCGCTCTGCACTGGTTGAGCCCGAGATTTTGTAATACGGCCTCTAGATTTTTATTGCCTTTTAGATCAACCCTACCACCTTGACAAGTCACCAAGGACAGACATGAAACTGCATGTAGTTCATGAACACAAGCATATGGATTGAGGACTGATAATAAATAACAATACCAATGAAGAAACAATGGTATCAAGTTATATATGATGGCTTGTTTCATGGGCAATGCAATAAGAAAATTGAATTGATTCAGAATGAATGTCATCACCATATATAGTGGTGCATCATGTTTGGGTTTGCTACTTCTTGAGCTTGCGTTGGTTTTTCCCTTTAGAAGGAAAGAGTGATGCAGAAAAGTAGAGATAAGTATTTCCCTCAGTTGAGAACCAAGGTATCAATCCAGTAGGCGGAACACACAAGTCTCCAATAATTGCACCTACACAAACAGAAAAATACTCGCACCCAACGCGATAAAGGGTTGTCAATCCCTTCATGGTTACTTGCAAGGATGAGACCTGATAGTGATGGGTATAAAAGATAAGTAAAAGTGCAAAATAAAATAAAGGTAAATAAATTGCAGCAAGGTGTTTTTGTGTTTTTGATTTTATAGATCTGAAAACAATATGATAAAAGATAGACCCGGGGGCCATAGTTTTCACTAGAGGCTTCTCTCTCGAAAAAAGCGTACGGTGGGTGAACAAATTAGTATTGAGCAATTGATAGAAAAGCGTATAGTTATGATGATATAAGGCACTGATCATGTATATAGGCATCACGTCCGAGACAAGTAGACCGACTCCTGCCTGTATCTACTACTATTACTCCACACATCGACTGCTATCCAGCATGCATCTAGTGTATTAAGTTAACAAGAACGGAGTAACGCCTTAAGCAAGATGACATGATGTAGAGGATAGATCCAATCAATATGAATAAACCCCATCTTTTTACCCTTAATGGCAACAATACAAATACGTGTCATGTCCCTTTCTGTCACTAGGATTGAGCACCGGAAGATTGAACCCATTACAAAACACCTCTCCCATTGCAAGAAAAATCAATCTAGTTGGTCAAACCAAATAAATAGATTGAAGAGAAATACAAAGCTATATAAATCAGGCATAAAAGAGTTCAGAGAAGACTCAAATAATATTCATAGATAATCTGATCATAAACCCACAATTCATCGGATATCAAACACACCGCAAAAAAGATTACATTGAATAGA